TTTTTGAGTTGAAAGTTTTTTAGTTTGAGATAATAATTTTATTTAGTCGTAGTTATTTTATGCTTGTATACATTACCTACCTACAGTAGGTTCATCATAATCATAATCATCACCGTAGGCCGTATGTTTTAAGAAAAGTCAAGGGAAAGCCAAGCTTCGGCACGAATGGGTCGGCTCGACCGGAGTGGTACCACGGCCTCACAGACAACCGGCGTAAAACAACTACAGCGTTGTGTTTCGCAGTGTGAGTTAGGTTACAGGAGGCCCAATCCCTCCCCCTCCCTCCATCCCTTCCCAATCCTTAAACCCTTGTCAGTAACAGACCGGCAACGCACTTGTAACTCCTTTGGTGTTGCGGGTGTCCAAAGCCGGAGCTGATTGCTTACATTGAGATAATCCGTCTGCTCCTTTGCCGAACTGTACCATGAAAATATACCATGTCCTCTAGCTGGTCTTTGCAAAAATATTAAACTACTGCCTATAAAACTGTGTTGTTAAGCTCGGATTGTTTGAGCTTGAGTTCAAAACGTTTAATTGACATATTTTTCTAAACATCATCAGCCGTTTCCAATTACGTACTTACTTACTTTAAGCGTACAAGTTTGCACGTTATTTAATTCTAGACCTAGTCCAGCCGGATTTGCGGGTATAGCGCAATAAGATACTGGAGCAGGAGAAGGAGGAAGGACGAGGAGAAGGAACTGGGGTTTTTAGTCAGTAAGAGTCTGACACTCCCTTTTACCTCATCCTGGGCGAGAGAAGAAAATTGATAACTTTACCCCTTCAATAAAAATACTCGACCTAGTCTGAAAATCGAAATCTATAATAAAACTACCACTGGCGATCTGTGACCAAAAAATCACGGCGGAAAAGCGATCTTACACCCACTATATCGGACAAAAAATAAATAACTGCAAATAAATCTTACTGCATTTTAATCTGCCATTTATCTACTTAATTAGTATTACTGTAGCGTGCATACACAGCATTACTCAGCTGATATTGTGAAAAGCTGCTTTTAAAAGGAAAATGTTTGGATGTTTTTTGGAAATCACACTATGTGTCACGTTTATTTATCGAAGACCAAGCTATTATGACTAATACATAGTATTCTACAGTAAAACTTTGCCCATTTATGGGGAAATACACCAGAGTCGCGGGCTTGTGACCAAAGCAACCTTCCTGACTTTTCTGGATGTGTTATTTTATTAAATATTAGTTGTACGTTTTAAAAATTTTATGACATATGTATGTTGTATTCTAAAACCGATCTGGACTTACGGAATCCAACTATGGGGCACAGCCTCAAACTCTAACAAAGAAATATTTCAGAGGTTCCAGTACAAAATTCTGAGGATTATTACTAATGCTCCTTGGTTTATAACTAACCAACAATGACGACACCACGACCTTAAAATCAGAACGGTCCAAAAAAGATAAAACAGTCTATGATATCCTACAGAAAAAGGCTCAAAAATCATCCAAACATTCTAGCAATGCGCTTAATGAATATGAACTCAATATTAAAAAGGCTAAAACGAAAAGCCCCTGAAGACCTGTAAAGGATGAATTGTAAAGGACCCACGTCGCTGGACTGGTGATCCTACAAGACAAATTAAACTCTTGATCATGTGCTGAATGTTCGCTAGAAACAGATTGCAGGATAAAATGCATATATTAATTCATACACGATACGATTATGGTGGCCCATAAATTAAGCGCCAAAACTGAAGAAACTTGCGAACCGAGTTTTGTGACCTGAAACTATTGTCGTTACTTTCAATAAACGCAGTGTGATTAGGTCAAACCAATGCATGTTGCAAGCTACCGTGTGCTCTTGTATAGTATTTACCATAAACCTTCCTTGAACTACGAGTTTTAACATGCTATAGTAACGGAACCACAATACTTTGAATAAAGCACCGTTTAATAAACAGTAAATTCGCTTCAGCTAATGACTTAAACAAAAAAACCCGGACGAAGTTAGCGGAAAGATTTAAAGTATTCATTATACGGGCTGCTAGGAGCTGATAGTTGTTCCTCGGCCAGTTCTCCTGGACACACGTAGCTACTTTATATTATACGACAATGACAAATAAAGAAAAAAGGGTATCTAATATAATGCCATAAAGTCCACCTTTTTTGAGTGGGAATATCATCGTTTATGGTATAGTGGGCCTTCTCCAAACCAGGCTTTTTTTGTGAGGGGAAAATCATCAAATGATTTCTCCCGCCCAGGGCCCGGCGGGAGGGAGTGTCAGACTCTTACTGACTAAAAACCCCCTGTTCCTTCTCCTGCTCTGGGCCGAGGTCGCGGTGCCTCATTGCGCTTACCCCGCAACCCAGGCTGAACATCAGCCCTTTAGGGCCCCGTCTGTGTTGGTCTATTGGCTCTTAGAGGCGCGCGCGAAACGCTACGCGACGTACGCTCGGGCCTAGTTCTGGTCGGGCGGCGAGCTGCCCTTACTCGCCGACCGCAGACCCGTGCTTACGGTGGCCGGAGATCGTCCCTTGATCCCCGACGCCTGTACTGTCGCCAGTTGCGGCGACTGGGGCGTGAGGAGGAGGATTGCTCCCTCACGCGGGCCGCCTCTCTCTTTGCGAGCATGACTGCTTCAAAAAAGGAGGAGACGGCGTCCCAGTTCCTCTCACTCCGCACTATAGCCTCGACTAAGGCCGGGCGCGAGAGGTCGCCGCCGCCGATCACTTCCCTGAGGACACGGCGGTGCTCAGCCCAGGCAGGGCATACCGCCACCCTATGCTCCACCGTATCCTCTAGATGGTCCTCGCAATGACGACACTCGGGCGTTTCCTCCCTGCGGTACCTCTTTGTTTTTTTTTTCATACGACATTTTGTCCCTCATTTTCTTTCATTTGTGCAAAATGTGTATTTTAAGTGTCGAAGAGCCATTCTTTTTTCACGGCGTGAAAGAACCACGGCGTTGCTCCGCTGCCCGTTTAATTTAACCCAACAGCCTTCGGTATAAATGACCCATGTCATTGGGTTTACCGGAGGCCCAATCCTTCTTCCCCCCCCCCCCTCCTTCCGTCCACAATCCTTTAATATCCGAAACCCTAATTTCCAAAAAGGCCAGCATCGCACCCGTAACTCTTTTGGTGTTGCGGATGTCCATGGACGGCGCCGATTGCTTACCATCTGCTAATGAGGAATCGTTTGTTACGGCACAGTCTACTCTGAGTTTGTTTCGGCATTTCTTCTCAGAGTAGTCAGATAGGAAATGCCGGCTTCATCTAGTTTTTCACATATAATTTGACGTGTAAAAGTGCCGTTTTAAGGCCTATTTGCAAAAATAAATTCATTGTTTCATTGTTTCATTTGCCGATGTATCTCATAAAAAAATATATAATCTCAATTTTCATATAATCTTAATTATGAAAACCTTTTAAGTCGGACTTGATACGTAGGTATTATAAAATAACACGCGTTCTTAAAATATCGCACTAAAATTGCACTAGGTTGGAACAAAAACAGGTATACGAAAGCAATAACATATTTATGCGGAGATTAAGATAAAGGTACTCACAATTATAAACATTATGAGACCATTGCCATGTAGTAAATATTACCAATTTACGTTGATGATAATTATTTATGATTTATTGTTCTATCGATAACATCCAACGTAGGTTAATAATACCTATACTCTTGCACATAATAATTTATGCGTAAATAAAAAAATGTATGTTTTTTATGCTATGTGTAAGTGTGGAAGAGCCACGCTTCGGCACGCATGGTTCGGTTCGACCAAAATGATACCACGGCCTCTAAGAAAACCGGCGTGAAACAATCACAGCGGTTTGTTTCGCCGTGTAATTAAGGTTAATCTAGGCAATCCTTCGCCTTCGCCTTGAAGACACTCCTTTCTTCTTCTTTCGCTTTTGCTGAATCAAAAAACCTTACGACGTGTCCAAAACGATAATTTATATAAAGGAATTATGAAGGAAAAATTATACTAAATTCTTGGACATAATAAAATTATTTAGATTTAATAAAAATATCTGTCTATATCATTTATTTAATAATCACACCTAAATATTAATACGTCCAATTAAGACGTAATACCGATACTTTGTCCTCGCGAGTGCAGATGTTCTCGAATTGATAATTTGCAATACCTGAGATTAATAATAAAATAACGTAATAAGTATGATTTGCTAACAAGTGATGATAGTGATAAGACCTTCGTATATAGGATTAGGAGCCACATTCGTTAGATCACAAAAAAAATTAAAAGGACTTGCTGAACTCGACCTTCAGGTCACGCAAAGACCTACAAGTGTGCTATTCTGCCTCTGATTTTGAATACTTCTTGGTGCTAGTACTAATTTGAGCCTATTGCCGCCTACTTCTCGTGGACAGCGGTTGTATGGCCATAGACGCCCATGGGCCATGGTAATACCAAAGTAGAAACTACAAGTTTAGGGTGCGTTGCCAGTGTCTTCTGGATTGTTAGGGATTTATGGATAGGAGATTTGAGAATAAAGGAGGAGTAAGGATGAGACCTCAGCTAACCTCACTCAAACGGCGAAACACGACGAAAGTTCTTCACGCTGGTTTACGGTGAAGCCATGTTATCATTCCGGTCGAACCTTCCCGAAGCATTGCTCTCCCACACTTTTATCTTTCTGAAAACACAAACTTAGCAGTTCTAGTACGGAAACTCGAAGGAAAACGCTTCGAGTAAGTGGGTGGAATGTCTACCATATTTTGTTTTTTGTGAGGAGAAAATCATCATATTGCTTCTCTCGCCCAGGGTGAAGTCAAGCCTGCGAGGGATCCTCATCATCACGCCCCAGCCGCCGCAATAGGTGACTCTCCGAGCACTGGGAATTTAGAGATGATCTACAGCCACCGTAAGTGCGGGTCTGCTAACGGCGAGTAAAAGTAGCTCGCCGCACGTGGCATTGCGTTAAAGAGCCTATAGACCACCACAAACAGGGCTCTACAGGGATGATGTTCAGCCGAGGTTACGGGGCAAGCGCGGTAAGGCACCGCGGCCTCAGCCTAGAGCAGAAGATGAAAGAGATTGTTAGTCAGTAAAAATCTGACTCTTATTCCCGCCCCATTTATGTACCTATATGTACTTAATTTTTTATATAATAGAGTGATTGAAGAGAAAGATTTGTACCCATGCTAAGACGGGGTATATCGGTAGTACTTATACAATGATTGGTAGTGTCTTAAAATTACATAGTACAATATAGGAAAATGACAAACATATTAGATAACTTACTTAAGTATTAATAATTAAGTACTTCTCAACTTATTGTCAGTGAGATAGTCTAAACGATGTGATTATTAGATAAACAATCAATTACACTAATGACGTTTAAAGCGGTTTAGTATTATGTAAGTATAGATAACAATGTTCATTTTGGGTACAAAGCAAACTATTCAAACGTTTTGTTTTTATAAAATGTGGGAGAAGCATGACCGGAGTGATACCACGGCCTGCAAGAAACCGGCATGAAACAACCACAGCGTTGTATTTCACCGTGTGCGTGAGGTTATCGGAGTCCCCATCCTTCCCCTGCCCCTCCCCCAATCCCTTAATCTCCAAAACCTACAAAGATGGCAACAACCCTACAAGGATGGCAACGTACTTGTCGACGTCAATCAGCCGTCCATCTACTAGCCTACTCGTTTGCAGTCCTATCAAATAAGACAATATTTTATTGATCGAAAGAGATTTCAATCTTATGTATCGCTTGATAGTCTTCAAAAAAGGATCTGAGTGCCTAGCACGAATGACTATCGTAATCGTAACGTTAACGTATCGAGACGTCGATACTTCATGTGACGAAAACGGAATGTCGCAGCACGAAGCCTATCGTATCGTCTAGCGAGAGCTCGAATCGAATTCGTTAGTGACGTCATGCTAATGTAAGCTAGAGAAGCACCCAAGTGAACGAATTGAATGAATTCTTGAACATAATTTAACATAAAGATTTCGTCTGAAAACTAAAATTAATTTTAAACATATTTCAACCTTCGTCTACACCTTTTATGGTATTATATTTAAATGAAAAAATATTAATTACGTGAAATAATTCTTAAAACGAGTCACGAAGTATATAAAATGACTTTATCTATGAAAAAAATATTATTTGGTTATTTAAATTTTGTAACATAATTTACGATTTCCGAACGTTCTTTTGACAAAGGTGACGTTTGACGGCTATTGACGTATTTTTTTTTAACAAACAAAACAAAGAATGTAGATAATTATGCGGCTATCTTATTATGCGGTTAGTTTAAATTTATTTTAAAATGAGGAGGACTCGGCTCCAATACGAATTAATGGTGGATTTCATGGAATATGCCAGTGACAAGCAGCGAGCCTTCAGTGTTCCGACCACTCCGCAGTACCCATGAAGCCAGCCGTTCACCGACACCACCAGTCGCCAATCCTCCATTAGAAAAGGAATGCTGGAAGCCTCGACCGAAAAAAAAATCTAAAGGGAGTTTAATCAAATTGTGTTTAGAGAATGATAAGAAACCTAGGGAGTTTGCTAGGGAGCGTGAGGAAACATATGATATAATGGAACAAGAGGGTTTGGAATTACGACGAGAAGAATGAAGAGTAAGACAGAGAGATGTAGAGCTCCTTTTACAGGCTCAGTGGCTGGAACTTATGAGAGAGGCAATAAATGTATTAAAATATAATCTAGTTAAAAAGATGATTAATGTATATTTACATATTTTATTTTAAATTACTACATTTTGGAATGAGGAAAGATTATGTTAGAATTGAATTTAAAATGTCTCACTATAGTTACCTATTATAAAAACATAGGTAAGAATAGTTTTTAAGTTAGATTAGTGTGTAAGATGTTTTGGAAATGTATAATAATAAAACACTTGGGTCATCTGTGTAGTATATTTATTTGCTGTACCAGAATATTACTTAAAGCCCTTTCACTTATCAAATCATCGCTTCTATCATTTTCATGTCTCTTATCAGAAGATGAGGTATGAGACAAGTCTTGATGTTCAGCTGTTGTTGTATCTACCTGTGGCTCAGGAACATTAAAATTTATGACCAAATTATGCAACAAGCCGTTGTCAAACACATTTTTCGGGAGCATAATGCAGAGTGCGGTCTTTGCACAAGCATCGCCTCTTCTTTCTTTTACTGCAGTATATTGTGGCCCGGAGTTCCCTCTACCGCATCCAAAATGAGTAGGCGTCATTAGCCATGGTCGCTGTGGGTAGCCAGAATCACCTGTAAAAAAATATTTATTAGGAAACCTAATTTATACTAGCTACTTCCTCGCGGTTTCACCCGCTGCTCGACTCCTATTGATTTCATTTTAGTATTATAAGGTTAGTTTTTGTTGGAGTTGCTCACAGAAGTACTTGAAAGCTTCTTTATTTAGGCGGTACCTAGTATTTCTAAACTACGTTTCAGTGATATCCATTGGATTAGATATCTTTCTGAATTTAGCTCGGCACACGATTTCTCTAGAATAATCATTTAATTCGTATTATTTTCTTGAATACATATGTCTATATTAAGTGAAACATAACTTGAATAGGTAGGTACTTGGTACTTACGAAGTTTCTCTTGACTCTTCATCTCCAAGTAAAATAGCCGCAAATAAACTATTTCTCCAACTTGGTTCGTACAGCGGCGGTCTTTGCATGATGTTATACTCGTAAAGAATACTCACAAACTTTATAATATATTATTTAAAACACGATTGAAATATTTCGAAACCTTTCTCACCGTCAAATTCTTAGTGACAAATGTTTCGACAGTTTTCGATAGCCAGCCTTCGAAACTTACGTTACTATACGTCAAAAGATCGTTCGTGCTTCCAATTTGTGTCAAAATGTTCTAAGTTTCGATAGCAACACGATACGATTACTATACGATAGTTGTCAAAATCATTCGTGCTTGCGATTTTTAGTTCCTTTTACGCACGGTAGGGGCGCTGTACAAATCCCATAGAAAATGCTTTCGATCTCGATACGAATACTTTCTCGATAATGTTCGTGCTAGGCACACTTGTGTCATGTTGGGTTAAAGTAAAGTAAAGTACCTAATACATTTTTAATTTTTTTTTTTTGGCATTACCTAGTCTGCAGAATAGATTCTAACATTAAGTATGGCGCTTAGAACTGTAATATACTCCGTGCTATGGTTCCAAACTCAAGCGCAAAGTGTAAGTGGAATGGGGTAGATTTAGTCAGTAAACATTTAACACTCCACGAAGAAAATCATTAGATAGCTTCTCTCGTTCAGGTTAAGGCGAGAGGCACTGGCAGACGCTTACTGGCTTAATAGTTTACTTCTTGATACTTTGCTAATTTTTCAAGGACCCTTGATGCAGGTCCAAAAACTGTTTAAACCATCGTGGTAATTTGAGACACAATAGACGCGCCGGCGTTCGCTTGGGGTTTGATAAAATAAAGATCAGATTGTATAAGAAAAAAAGTAAGTGCAAAATAATTTAATACACATTTGACTTTGAAATGTACTCTTTGGCATTTCCGGAATAGTAATCTGTAGTAAATATCTTAGTGCTCAATAAATACCTAATTAGATAATAAACGTACATTGGATCCAAATTATCTTTTTACGTATTTATTATTGTTGAATAAAGTGAATTTGCAAATTTTCTAGTGAACACACTAGATTTTAAGTACGTTAGCACTAAAAAGAACGTACACACCTATCTATATGTGTATATTTATATATAGGATAGGATAGCAGACGCAATCGCGATAGTGTACTATGGCCCTGACCCGGAGAAGGGAATAAGGAAAAGGATGGTTTTTAGTTTTTTAACCGACTTCAAAAAAAGGAGGAGGTTCTCAATTCGATTGTATGTTTTTTAGTTAAAGTGTGGGAGAGCCATGCTTCGGAACGAATGGGTCGGTTCGACCGGAGTGATACCAGAGCATCACTGAAAACCGGCGTGAAACAATCAGTGTTGTGTTTCGCCGTGTGGGTGACGTTACCGGAGACCTCCTCCTTCCCCCATCCCTCCACAATCCTTGAATCCCTCTTATCCTCAAAGTGCTCGCAATTCAGTTGCAACTGCTCTGGTGTTACGGGTGTCGACGAGCGGCGCCAATTGCTTATCATCAGGTAATCCACTGCGTGTTTGGCGGAGTATCACATAAATTACAAAAAATTAGTTATAATTATGAATATAACTATTACAATTTAAATGAGCCTATACCTATCTATACTAATAGATATTATAAAAAGGTTTGTAAGTTTGTATGTAGGGGGTAATCTTTGGAACCACTGGTCGGATTGCCAAAATTCTTTCACTGATAGATAGCTACAATGTTCCTGAGTGCTATAGGCTATAAAATATCACACTACGATTAAATGGAGCTGCACAGCAAGTGCAACCACGCGAGAGTAGCTAGTATTTTATATTTACCTTCATATTAAATAACATATGATAATACATGATCATATTACATGAAATTTATTTTGATTTTAAAACATATTTGTGGTTCTAATTGAAATGTAATGGCAACGGTATCATTTTGGAATTTGGAATGACAAAATTTGTTAAAATGGTCGACTTAGGCCCACGGTCAATGCCCTATCTGAACTTACCCTGCTATAAATTAAAACAAGATTAGTTCCTGAGCCAGCACTAAAAATATTCAATACCCAAAAAGGTTCAAGGTTCTTTCTAAAATCGGAACCCGAAATGTATGCAAATGTCTGGTTTTGGTCTCGAAATTTAGTGCAAAGATATTTTTTACAGGATGTCAAGATTTGTGTGGATTGAACGTGAAAGCAGGTAGGTTTAAGGTTCCGTATAAATTATCAAATATTTTTCTTACAATTTGTCAGTATATACAGAGTATGATATACATATTTCTAATTACATTAAATAATATTAACGTTCGTCAAACGGTATTTGACTCTTTGGCAATGCAAAAGGTTTTTGTCTCGCTAAACATATGTCCTGCCTGTACCACGGGTAGTGTTCCGAGGAATTGTTCGGCTTGATTCCTGCCGTCATCATCTACATCATATATGTACATGGTTGGCAGTCAACAACTGTGTAATTTTACCAAAACTTACTGCCTGCGGCGGTACTTCGCATGGGGGCTTAGAAAAATATTCTTCTTTTTTATAGTACATAATTTTAAATGACATATCCCCACAGCAATCCAGTGACACATTATTGTAACCTAATAAAAATGCACTTTAAAAATAATGTTTCAACATATTAACAACTATAGTCATGTGAAAGGAAATAACATTACGTTGACTGATAAATAAGAAAAATAAAATATTTCAGATAAGAACAAATAAAAACAACATATATTATGTGATTCGAAATTTGAAATTGGTATTTTCCGTTTAAGTACCTGCTTTTTTTTCATAGATGATAGGTCGGCAAACAAGCAGACGGGTTACATGATGGAAGAACATGCGCCACCCGTAGACCCTCGTAATACTAAAGAAGTTATTACAAGTGCATTGCCGGCCTCAGTGGGATATTAGGGGTTTAAGGATAGGGGTTTTGAGGATTGGGGATGGGGGTAGGGTGGCGAGAGTAAGGATTGGGCCTCCGGTAACCTCAATCACACTTCAAAATACAACGCTGGAGTTGTTTCACGCCAGTTTTCAGTGAGACCGTGGTACCGCTCCGGTCGAGCCGGCTCTTTAGTGCCAAAGCATGGCTCTCTCACAATTAAATGCTAAGTGCAATTTATTACAATATACTTAACTAATGCATTTGTGACATTAGATAGTACCTACGTATTTCCCTTTAGCACAAACTTGTGATAAACCAGAAAAACATAGGATAACACTATCTTAACGTCTCAAACAAATAATTCTATCAATTTATGGTTTTCCCAAAACCATACTTTAAAACCGAAGTTAGTTCAGAAAACGGCTAATTAATAACACGATCTTTGTAAAAGCAACTCTAAAGTCGGGAGTTCTTAAGTTATAATATCCCTTGCGTTTATATTTTATATGTATATTTGTGTTCCTTTCCTGGCCAATGATCGTTTAGTTGTGTATACTCTGTGGTCGTTGACTCACTGACAATCGGGCTGCGCATGCGTCCAAGTGCATTTCATTGCAACATTAAACTTTCTACTAAGTGAATAACTGTAAGTATTTATCATATTATTTAACGAAACCTAGCCCTTATCTATTGTTTTCGGTACAAATTCGTTAATAACGTACAGTAAAAGTTTTAATTAAATGTTTCTGAGAATGGCAAATTAAAAGTAAAGTTGTATAAATACTTTAGTTGCTGTTTATTTAACAAACATTAATTATATTGTTTTTTTATCATTCTATTTTATTATGAAAAATACTTTTAACAGAAACAATCAGTATATTTACAATTAAATATATTTATTATGTTGTTACTAAGACTTTCTTATTTTAAAATAATTGCGCATGACGTTATGTGTTTATTAAAATACATCCGAAATTATCAACCGATTTCAAAATAAATTTCTTTCATTAAACAATTGTTTAAAATAGTTATTTGGAGTATCTGCCAAAAACAGACAGACCCAGAGTTATTGGATTAAGATCGTTGAATGTATGCCGTTAAGATTTATAATATTGTGTAAAGCATAGATTTTTATTTGATAGGACGGCAAACCAGCTTGTAAAATGTATTACCTGATGTTACCATCAGGCAAACAGCTCCGAGCATGAACTCCCGCAACTACGGAGGACGCTGACGGCCTTTTGGTGATTAGTGTTTAGGAGATTTAGGGATTTCAGGAGGAATAATATTGAGCCTCAAAAGTAGATACAATTGGAGCGACCAGAGTGATGTTCTTGTTACACCCCCCCCCCCTCTCTCACTCTCTCTCTGCCCCCAAGATCCCAATCCTCAAATCGCTATCTCATAACTGGCGTCTCCCATATGTAACGGTGATCCGGCAGCTCGTTGACCGCTCTTAGTAAGTGGACTGTCCCGGGATATCGATGATGTGATAAGAGACTTTTAAAATATGAGTCACAGTTTAGTATGGAAATAATACTGTCTGAGATAACATTAACCCTTAACTTAAACAATTCTTTATTTAATTTGTATTTATCTTACTTAAACATAGATATCGTCTGGCCCAGAGGTTAAAGCGCCCGCTTCTCATGCATGAGGGTGCGGGTTCGAAACCTGGCAAGTGCTAATGTGACTTTTTCCAAGTGATATGTACTTTCTGTGATTAATTAGACACCACTGACAAACGGTGAAGGACCAATCCGGCTTAAGCCAAGGGTGATGATTAATGCTCAAACCTTTCTCCTTGTGTGAAGCGGCCTTTGCTCAGCAGTGGGCACATATAGGCTGATGATGTGTGTGAAAAATAGATATTATTGTATTGTTTTTTTAACTAGCCGTCACCTTATCATTCGATTGCTTCGCTTTTTTTACTGCGCCCTGTCTTGTGCTAAAAAAATTATATTCCTTCGTGCTTTTTTTAAATGTAGGTAAGTATGAAATAAATATGTCTGCCCTTTTGTTTAAAATGTATCTATCTATATATCTATATCTACCCACGGCCCGGGAAGCACCCACGAGGTGACATTTGCCTTGTTCCCGACTTCATACTAATCAACGCGCCACCATTATTTAATCAGCCTAAGCTCTAAAATAATAAATTTGACATTTACACCGGTATGTTGGTACTTACTTCGGTAGGTACATATTTAAATTTAGAATTAGAATGTTTATTTTTTTAGTAAGCTCTAACAAAAAGAATGTGGATACGTCACATGAAAATTGTGTTTAAAAATATATTTTTTAAACTATAGCGAAGCAAGTGTAGGTAAATCAAAAATACATTAGACATTCTATTTTTGAAAAAAATGGTCGCCAATATTGGGTAAATACTTTATTCGACAAACTGACATGCCATGTCGTATTGTGACAAAGCCCACTGATTTCATGTTTGACACCACTGGCTCATTTCTACACGACATACAAGTATGGCTAACCATAATAAACGTATGAAAGCCCTAAGTTTCTGACACAACACGGCACGTTATCATAAGCATAACCCCAAAACCGTTAATATTATTTAGATCCCTGGTTGGATAGGAGTCGAGAGGATTTTTGAACTTCGAAATTCGTAGTTCAAGAATCCTTAAAGTTTAGAACGGACGCTGGCGAGAAAATAAAATGAGCCTGATTACTTAACAGGCGTAAAGAAGTTTTAATGTGGCCTATCCTTTGTAATGCAAGCACCATGGTGGTGTAACGAACCATAATTAATATGAAATTCACAGAACGTAGCCTACTCTAGCGTATCATCACCCAAATTCCTAATTACTAGGCGTTTTAATGAGAAAGCATAATCAGTCAAAGCCAGCAATTAAATGTTGACTAGAACTAGATTTGTGTGCGCTTAGTTCGCAGTGCCCCCTCCTCTTCCCTCGTTAGTCACTGCGACAGTTCAAAGCAATCTCACCTTTGTGGCTCATCCGCTTTGATCTCGACACGGATCGATTTAATTTTAGCTTTCTTGTAATTAAAATTGAGCAACTGAAGTATTTTATTCAAACATTCCCTGTCACAATTATTTGGGGACTTTTAAGATATTTTTTTAATTCTTAAAGGAAAGTTTCAAAGTCCAGTAAAAGAAATAAAGTAACAAATAATTTGATTATGTATTGAGACGGCCAACTAGCTATTTGCCTGATACTAAGCAATCAGCGCCACCCATGGACTCTCGCAACTACAGAAGATTTACTTTAAAATCACCTACTTGTTCGTTGTAAACTCACAATTCATGCAAAATAATATTTAAACTCAAATTCAGAACCTCCTTCCTTTTTGGAAGTCGGTTAAAAAGTCACAGAAAATTCTGGAACGTTCTCGAATCTTGTCCGCCATTGTAATGGCGTTCATAAAGCGAACTGTGAGTAATGCGTTATTCATTAACCAATAGCTCACAATGACTTCTGACACGGTTATACGTCTGTTTGTCTGTCTGTCTGTATAATGAATCATAAGTAATGAAACGGGATTAATATTCAGCCTTAAATCGTTCGGTTGAATTCAAATCGCCTTTGTCATCCCTTCTGTGATATCGGGGATAGTGATAAGCGGTGTTAACTTTAGATACTTATATTTGTTTAAAATTTCGACCCAAGTTTCATTTTACTCATAATGAATGGATCATACATATCGCAGTGGTCGTGGTGGCCCGGAGGTTAAGGCGCCTGTGAATGAGGGTTCTAAACCTGACAAGCAGGTACCAAAATGACCTTTTCCGAGTTGTATATTTTCTATGATTATGACAAACCACTGACATACGGTGAAGGAAAACATCGTTAGGAAACCTAGACTTATAATTTCTAATTATAAGTTTGAAATCGCCAATCCCTCTTGAGTAAGCGTAGTTATTAATGCTCAATCCTTCTCCTTTGCGCAGCAGTGAGCAATTTTTGCAAATAGTCTGTAGTACAGAATTTCCTATCCTCTCTTCTTCTTTTCATTTTCTCTCTGACTTCCCTGAGAAGAAATGCCAAAACAAAGAAATATCAGTTTCTTTTATACTCCATATTGAAACCGATAGCCCCAAACCATTCAATTTTCTCGTATTTGCGGTTGTGGTGGTGGTGGCACATATCAGTGGTCATTCATTTGTCATTTGAAGTAGATATTGTTGGATATTGTTTGTAATCCTAAATGTACCTACATAATTTACATAACCTACCTAATTTTTATCAACCGGGGTTGCGGGGCAAGCGCAATTAAGCACGGCGGCCTCGGCCTAGAGCAGGAGAAGGAACGGGGGTTTTTTAGTCAATAATAAAGAGTCTGACACTCCCTTCCTACGACCCTGGACGGGAGAAGCTATTTGATCGGTCCCCTCAAAAAAATACCTATTTTTATAGCATTACTGTCAAACCAAAGCTGAAAAAGTAAGAAATTACCTTGCAGAGCAAATGTAGCATCATTTCTTTGTCAACAGTCTTAAGTATCGCAATAGGTACTTTCTTTTATTATATTATTATTTCATTACAGGTACCCAAACAAAATGGCGCTACCATTCCCGTATGAGATCAAGGACGTCACTGAAGAGGAGGACAAAATTATAAAAAAGTATTACAAAGGTGAGTTTAAACATAAAGATCTCTTAAGACTTATCTAAGTATATTTAAAAAGTACAAAAAATACATGAGGTTTTTACAAAATAATTAGATTTAGACTACGTTATGATATTTTCAGTGGATCGTAATCAAAAAAATTATCGAATGACTCTTCCTGCCTCGGTGAGACGTGAAGGAGTGTCAGGCTCTTGCTGACTTAAAAGTACCCTGTTCCAAATGCTGCTTTGAACCGGACTATGCAGTACATTTATTCTCTTCACAATAGAACATGGTAATGATTGTGAACGTATACATGCCAACCGATGCACCCGACAATTTGTTAGATTTCGTTGACTGCTTAAGTGAGATTGCGGCCATAGTAGAAAGTGGTGATACTGAAAATGTATATATAATGGGAGATTTTAATGCGCACCCAGGGGAACTTTTTGGAAAAGAAATGTTGAACTTTTGCTCAGAACAAAACTGGTTCTGTGCTGATTTAATTAAATTGGGGACTGATTCTTATACCTTTATAAGTGATGTACATGGTAGCCGACGGTGGCTAGACCACTGTTTGGTTTCTGAGGCTGCATGGAAGACTATAACATCTGTTCAGGTACATTATGATATATACTGGTCAGATCACTTCCCGCTAGAGGTACAATGTAATTTGATGAGAGCCACTCCAAAGTCAACCGCGTCTCATCGTTGTCAAATAAATAAAGTGTCATGGGGTGAACGTAATTTATGTCAGATCGAGTTGTATACTAAGGAATGTAACTCTAAATTAAAACAAATTGACTTCCCTACTGAATTAAGGCATTGTTGTGATAATATGTGTAATAATAAGGAACATATTGTTACGTGCCTGACTATGCGGGCTTGGGTTACGGGATTGGATGAAATGAAACACTAATACCGGTTTTCAGACTTTCTATTGCACTTAAGTTACAGCGTCCACGGAGTTAAGTTATCGGCGTTCCTCTCCAGCAGAGTCCGGCCGACTGACACAACTTTGCCGTTCACGCTGACTTAACTCACTTAACTGACTGCACTTCACTATTTCACTGCACTTCACTATTTCACTCACTTTTCTTCTTTCTCACTTCTTCCTTTTCTTCCGAATCGCTTTAGACTTAGAACTCAACTGCCAGCGGTGAGCCGCAGTTCCGCTTATATACCCCCGGTCAGGTTCTGGAACATTCAATTTCGTTATTCTTTTTGATCGTCATGCCTCCAGAACCTTCCAATAATTTCGTTATTCATTTTTATTTATTCTCCTTCTCGCTCTTTAATTTTTCATTTCTTTCACACAAATAATTCCAGAAAGTTCGACAAAACTTCTATAAACTAAAAAACTTCATGTTTACGGCGGGACTCGAACTCGGGGTCTCTGTGGTGTAATCCACACGCCTTACCGATTACACCAACTCGTGTTGACAATTCACGACGAAATTTACAATCTCTAGGCAACGTTTGACAACCATCCATTGACGTCATGATGTCAAAGAGTTTGAACCACTTTTCCGTCACACTGCCCCCCTCTTAGATTCGCTCGTCCCGAGCATCGTTGCTGCCGTAATACCTCGCCAACCTGTCTATATGGACAACTTTCAAAGGGCTCCTTGAAGTCTTCCGAATTCTGTAAGTAATGTCATTGATCTTCGTGACTATCTCATAAGGACCTTCCCAACTCGGTTGAAGCTTCGGAGATTTTCCCTTCCTTCTGACTGGATTATGAAGCCAGACCAATGACCCCTCTTCAAACCCAACAGAATTGGCTCGTCGATCATAGCGCGTCTTTGCGCGATCACTAGCTTGAAGACCGGCCTCCCTGATCTGCTCATAAATGTCCAACATTTTTGCCCTTAACTCGTTTATGTAATCGCTAAACTCGGTGCGAGTGTCGCCAGGTGGACAGCCCGATACAAGATCTGCCGGTAATCTCAATTCCCTTCCAAAATTTGCAAATGCAGGCGTCTTTGCGGTACTTTCATGTACAGCAGTCCGATAGGCAAGCAAGAAGAGAGGTATGTAAGTGTCCCAATCTCTCTGATGGCTGTCAACCACCTTTGCTAAGTGTCGCTCCAATGTTTGGTTGAAGCGTTCGACCATTCCATCTGACTGTGGATGATAAGGGGTCGTTCGAGTCTTATGGATTCCCAAAAGTTTACAAGTTTCTTGAAAAACTTGGGATTCAAAATTCCGTCCTTGATCACTGTGCATCTCCAAGGGCACTCCGAATCGGGTGAATACCTCGTTTACCAACTTCGTGGCTACAGTTACTGCCTCTTGATTCGGTATGGCAAAGACCTCCGGCCATTTTGTAAAATAATCCATAACCACTAAAACGTAGCGATTGCCCGAATCAGTGATTGGAAATGGTCCAGCGATGTCTAAGGCTATTCTCTCCCAAGGCATACCAACATTGTAGATTTTCATCGCCCCTCTGCTTCTTGTTTGTGGACCCTTGACAGCTGCACAACTAGTGCATTTCCGGCACCAATCTTCGACGTCATATTTGCAATGCAACCAATAAAACCTCTCCTTGATCTTCACCAAAGTCCTCCTAATTCCCAAATGTCCTCCAGAAGATCCATCATGGAACGCTTTTAATACATCCCTTATTTTTGAACGAGGCACCACCAATTGCAAATGCTCGTCCTTGCCCTTTGTTGATTCCCATTTCCTGCACAGAAGTCCGTTATGCAGCGTAAGGCTTTTCCACTGTGCCCATAAACCTTTCGTTACCGCGCTATATTGGGCGACGTCACTCCAACTTGGCTTGTTACCACTTCGTAGCCACTCCAGTATTGGTTTAATATCTGCATCTCTTTCCTGTTCTAATTTCATCGCATCATCTCCCCATGCCTCGTCAACAGTATCAGTCCTTATCACCTTAAGAAAAGCAGTTTCCTTCTTGGCACAATGCTTGCAATCTTCCACGCATGGGCGTCTCGATAATGCATCTGCGTTGCCATGAATTCTTCCGCCGCGATGTTCGATTTCAAAGTCAAATTCCTGAAGTTGTTCCAACCATCTGGCTACTTGGCCTTCGGGATCCTTAAACTGAAGCAGCCATTTCAAAGCAGCGTGATCAGTTCTGATCAAAAATTTCCGTCCCAGTAAATACTTCTTGAAATGGTGCAGAGTTTTGACTACGGCCAGCAATTCCCTCCTGGTCACGCAATAATTCCTCTCCGGCTTAGATAGTGACTTGCTGAAGTAAGCAATAACCTTCTCCTGCTCACCATCGCGTTGTGAAAGGACACCTCCTATTCCAATATTGCTGGCATCCGTATCAACTACGAATATTCCTTTCGCGCTGGGGTATCCGAGAATTGGTGTGTTACAAAGCCGTTCTTTTAGTTTTCGAAAGGCTTGCTCACAATCCTCGTCCCAGATAAAGGCACGTTTCTCCTCTGTCAATCGATGCAAAGGCTTGGCAATGTCCGAGAATCCTTTCACAAACCGCCGATAATACGAGCACAATCCAAGAAATGCCCGAACTTGCGTTTTGTCTTTAGGTGTTGGCCATTCCTTAACAGCGACAGTCTTGGCTGGATCAGTCTCAATTCCTCTCTCAGAAATAACATGTCCTAGATAATTCACTTCGCGCTTGAAGAAAGAGCATTTCTTTGGACTCAACTTTAAATTTGCTCCACGCAGCTTGTCGAGTACCTTTTCCAATTTTCTTAGATGATCGTCAAAATCCCGTCCAACAATGATGATGTCATCGAGGTAAACTAGGCAGGTTTCGCCCAGCAGTCCCGCCAGCACCTGTTCCATTAAACGCTCAAAGGTTGCCGGTGCATTGCATAATCCAAATGGCATCACCTTAAATTGCCAGAGTCCCTTCCCAGTTGAGAATGCGGTCTTTTCCTTGTCCTTGGGATCCAAATCCACCTGCCAATAGCCACTTTTCAGATCGATCGTTGAAAACCATTTCATGCCACTCAGTGTGTCAAGTGTGTCATCGATTCTTGGTAACGGGTAGCTATCCTTCTTGGTTACATCATTCAATCGTCGATAGTCTACGCAAAACCTCGTTGAACCATCTTTCTTCTTGACAAGCACGACAGGTGAACACCAAGGGCTAGAAGAGGGCTCTATCACGTCATTTTTCCTCATATCGTCAATCATTTGTTCAACCTCTTTCTCACGAGCGAATGGTATACGTCTGGGCCTTTGACGAATTGGCATTGTATCACCTGTGTTTATTTTATGCTTCACCAAACCAGTTCGGCCAATATCACCATCGCTTCTTGAAAACACATCAGAGAATCGAAGAAGTAAATTTCTAGCTTTCATAGTCTCCACTTTTGTCAGACTTTTGTTTTCGTCTAAGATTTTCGTTACAAAGTCTATTCCCGTACTGTCCTTCTTCACAAGATTTTCCGAGCATTTTCTTATCCAGGCCACTTCTTCCAATACGCCCACAGGCTCTCCTTCTTCAATCGTAATTTTTGAATCACTGAAGTTGAATACCGGAATGCGGTTGACATCAGATGACCCCACGACAGTTCTTGCCGGTAGCCATGAGTTTACGTGTTCCGATTTATCAATCACAGCGCACCTTCGAGGTAAACTTCCTTCCCTCCTCCTAGGTAATGCGATTGGTACGAGAGTCTGTGATTTTGGTGCAAGAACAGTTCTTCTTAAACAGCAAACTTTTCCCAGGGTTCCACCCTTCATCGGAATTTCCTCAGTTCCACATAGTAATACTCCAGATTTTAAGTCGATGTTACACTGGTGCCCTTGCAGGAAGTCAAGTCCCAGGATGCAGTCATCCAGAATTTTGGCCACAATAACCTCATGTCGATAAACACGTTCCCCAATTTTGATTGTTACATGCAGTTTTCCACTTATCGGTATGCACTGGCCGGTAGCTGATTTCATTCGTAGGCCAACAATTGGTTTAAGGTGTTTCCTGATGTTTTGCCCAAACAGCCGAACATTTATCACCGTCCTTGAAGCTCCAGTATCTAATGTTAGCTGACTGTTTTTCCCATTTACTTGACCGTCTATCACCAGTGTATTTCCATCGTTGGTTTGCTTGATGTAGATTGTTGGGGTTGTTCCACTTCCAGCCAGCGCCCACCCCGCAGCCTTGGCTGGATTTAAGTTTCCCTGCTGGTCAGAAGTTGAGACCGCCGCGTCCTGGCGGTTCATCTTCTTCGGGCAGTCGCTCCGTATGTGCCCACGCTCTCCGCATCCATAGCACATGAAGTTCCGACGGCGTGGAGGTACCTGCTCCGTTGTCGTCATTTCCCGCAGACCTAAGGTGCGGGGGTTGCCACGCACGGCTTCCACTTCCAATGCATGGGCCAGAGCTTCTTTCATGTTCTTGTGATGGCCCAGATGAACAGCAGCTCGTACTTCGGGGTCCCGAATACCGTCAATGAATGCTTGGAGAAGCGTGCCTTCAATCATTGACGGAGTCGACCGGAAAGCTCGACGCACAAGTTTCTCGATTTCCACGGACCATTGCTGTAGGCTCTCATTAGCACGCTGAGTACGCTCTTTTAATTGCGCTCTGTACACGTGCTCGAGGTGGCTGTCTCCAAAACGTGCCTCCAGTGCGTCGAGGAGGGCACTAAAGCTGAGATCCCCACTTGCGCCGATAGCTTCCAGCACTGAGAGCGCTTGATCACGGAGGGCCAGGGTGAGGGCTGACTGTGCTTCCTTCTGAGTCCAACCATAAGCCTCCATAAGTGTCTCGAACTGTAGCTTGAACGCGGTCCAGGATGTTGTTCCGTCGTAATGGAGAATCTTGAGCCCTTTCGTTGCGCTTGAGGCCGCATTTGGGGCGTCAAAAACGGCTGCAAGACGGCTTCGGCTCTTCAAAGGGCTTGGGCTTGTCATTTCCTGCTTGATTTTGGAGATCTCTTCTTCCACTCTCTCCTCTATGGCCATGACGCGATGTTCCAACTTGCCTAACCCTTCCTCCACTTCCTGTACCCGTTCGACAGCCTTTTGCAGTCCCTTCGTGAAATCCTTATGCATCTCTTTCAGCTCCCGTAGCTGCTCTGCCTGACAGTGTGCTTGCTCCCGTAGCTGTTCTGCCTGACAGCGTGCTTGCTCCTCTTGGCGGCGCGCTTGCTCTTCTTGGCGGCGCGCTTGCTCTTCTTGGCGGCGCGCTTGCTCTTCTTTCAGCTCCCGCAGCTGTTCTGCCTGACAGCGCGCTTGCTCTTCTTGGCGGCGCGCTTGCTCTTCTTGGCGGCGCGCTTGCTCTTCTTGGCGGCGCGCTTGCTCTGCCATCATTTGCTGCAGCTGTAGCAGAAGATCCACCTGCACAGGCTTGGCTTCTGCATCGCTGGTTTGAGCTGCAGCACCCTCTTCCCTCACACGCTGCGCTTCTGACATTGAACGGGTACTCACTCCTCTTACGTCCTGCGGCACTAGCGGCATTTTTCTCCAATCCCACTTCTGACACCAAATGTTACGTGCCTGACTATGCGGGCTTGGGTTACGGGATTGGATGAAATGAAACACTAATACCGGTTTTCAGACTTTCTATTGCACTTAAGTTACAGCGTCCACGGAGTTAAGTTATCGGCGTTCCTCTCCAGCAGAGTCCGGCCGACTGACACAACTTTGCCGTTCACGCTGACTTAACTCACTTAACTGACTGCACTTCACTATTTCACTGCACTTCACTATTTCACTCACTTTTCTTCTTTCTCACTTCTTCCTTTTCTTCCGAATCGCTTTAGACTTAGAACTCAACTGCCAGCGGTGAGCCGCAGTTCCGCTTATATACCCCCGGTCAGGTTCTGGAACATTCAATTTCGTTATTCTTTTTGATCGTCATGCCTCCAGAACCTTCCAATAATTTCGTTATTCATTTTTATTTATTCTCCTTCTCGCTCTTTAATTTTTCATTTCTTTCACACAAATAATTCCAGAAAGTTCGACAAAACTTCTATAAACTAAAAAACTTCATGTTTACGGCGGGACTCGAACTCGGGGTCTCTGTGGTGTAATCCACACGCCTTACCGATTACACCAACTCGTGTTGACAATTCACGACGAAATTTACAATCTCTAGGCAACGTTTGACAACCATCCATTGACGTCATGATGTCAAAGAGTTTGAACCACTTTTCCGTCACAATATGTTAGTAATAGATGATTTGTACAGCAAAATTATTTCATCGCTACGCGAGGCTGCCGAGTCCAGTTATAATGGTCACTGTAGGGGGTATAGCGGAAAGGGGCGACCCATCCTGGGGTGGAATAAGTATGTGAAGGACGCTCACCGAAGCGCTAGGCAAAAGTTTGCAAACTGGGTTTGGCATGGAAAACCATATACAGGACATAGTTACGTTGAAATGGTTGAGTCACGTAAGATTTTCAAACAAAAACTTAAGTTTTGTCAAAATAAACAAGACCAGATCAAAATGGATATACTAGCTTCAAAACACGAAAAGAAAGACTTCCGTGGGTTTTGGAAACATACCAAGAAATTAAATCCTAAGCCTGGTACTCCGGTTAGCGTCGACGGGGTAGGTACGCCGCGGGAGATCGCGAATATGTTCATGCAGCATTTTAGATTACAACCACCTCCAAAACCGGATGTAAATGGTGTCGTTGCTGAGGCTGGTGTGCCGGAGGTGCCTGCTCGTATTACGGCTAAACAAGTATGTTTAATAATTAAAAATATGAGGCGAGGAAAATCACCGGGGCATGACAGCCTTAGCGTCGAACATTTTGTGCATGCCGGACATCATCTCCCGCGACTGCTTGCATTATTTTTTACATTTTGTATTCGCCACTCCTACCTGCCCGCAGAGTTGATGAGGACGGTGGTCGTGCCAATACCGAAAAATAAAACTGGTGACGTCAGTGACAAGAATAATTACAGACCGATCTCGTTAGCGACAATTGCGGCTAAAGTACTTGACAGCGTATTTGAGGAACAACTTAGGAAACACTTCAAAATACATGATGCTCAGTTCGGCTTTAGGCCACAGCTATCAACTGAATGTGCTGTGTTGTCCCTCAAACATACTGTCGGGTATTACACAGAGAGGAATACCCCGGTTTATGCGGCCTTTCTTGACCTCTCCAGGGCATTTGACCTTGTTAGGTATGACTTGTTGTGGAATAAGATGCGTGAAGCGGGTGTGCCTGGCGCCATAACGGGTATGTTTCGGTATTGGTACGGTCATCAAACGAATCAGGTTAGATGGGCCAACGAATTGTCTGAGGAGTACAGGTTGGAGTGCGGGGTGAGGCAGGGGGGGTTGACCTCGCCAGCGCTCTTCAGCCTGTACGTAAATCAGCTGATTGCCGAGCTCGGCAGTACACATGTCGGCTGTTCTATTGACGGTCTTTTTGTCAATAGTATTAGTTATGCGGACGACATGGTACTGCTGAGTCCCTCAGTCGGTGCACTCAGGCGGTTATTGGCGGTCTGTGAGGCTTATGCAGAAAAACACGGACTTGTGTATAATGTACAGAAAAGCAAATTGTTAGTTTTCAAAGTGAGACACAAAAAGCCAGCCCACGTACCGCCAGTTACGATGAACGGTGTGGCCCTTGAGAGGGTTTTAAACTTTAAGTACCTAGGGCACATAGTGACTGAGTCTTTGAAAGATGACGATGACATGGAAAGAGAGCGGAGGGCGTTGGCTGTCCGATGCAATATGTTGTCCCGCAGGTTTGCACGTTGTACACCAAAAGTGAAATTAACGCTTTTTAAGGCATTCTGCCAGTCTTTGTACACGTGCACCCTGTGGGTTCGGTATACGCAGCGGGCATACAACGCCCTCAAAGTTCAGTATAACAATGCCTTCAGGATGTTGTTGGGGCTCCCACGTTACTGCAGTGCATCAGGAATGTTTGCTGACGCACATATTGATGGTTTTAAAGCCATCATAAGAAAGCGAGTAGCGTCCATGATGCGCAGAGTGCGTGGGAGCGGCAACAGCATTCTGAGGGTCATTAGTGATAAGCCGAGTTGCGCCATTTTGGCACACTGGATGCATGTACACGTTCATGTACCTGGTGTGTCGAATGTACGCAGCAGATATTTGAATTAAGGTCTTTCTGTATTTTATTTTTCACTAACATAGTTTTTAAGGTGTGTGAGTACTAACATAATATGGACTACGGTCTGAATTAAAGTTATTTTATTTTTATTTTTTTTTTTTTTTTTTTTTTTTTTATAAAGTGCATTGTTTTAGTGCAATAGGTACTGCTAGTAGACCACCACACATGGGCCCATGCGGCCCAATTGGGTCGATGTCCAAGGGCTATGAGTAAACGCGCAAATATTGTCGTGGTGGCCCGAAGGTTAAAGAGCCCGCTTCTCATGCTTGAGGGTGTGGGTTCGAAACCTGGCAAGTACCAATATGACTTTTTCTAAGTTATATGTACTTTCTATGATTATTTAGACACCACTGGAATACGGTAAAGGTAAACATCGTGTGGAAACCTGAACATATAATTTCTAATTATAAGTTTGAAATCGACAACCCGCATTGAGCAAGCGTGGTGATTAATGCTCTAACCTTCTCCGTATGAGAAGAGGCCTTTGCTCAGCAGTGGGCACTTAAAGGCTTATGATAAAATGATGATGCGCAATAATTTACCCCGATCCCAGCCTGGAGCAGCAGATGGAACGAGATGATTTATTGTTAGTAAGAGTCTGACACTCGCCCTTTCCCCTCCCAAGGCGGGAGAAGATATTAGTATTTTTCCCGCCCCAAAATAACGGTGCATGTGGCGAATTTACTGAAAAAGCATCTCCTAAGCACATGCTACTATAGCGTCAATGAATATGTAGACGATAAAAAGATAGTCTGATTTATTGATAAAAAAATATGTAAATACCTAATAGATATAATATTCCTACTATTGTACGTAATTATAATGTAATTAAATCAAATATATTTGTTGAGGAAATTTGTTATGGAAACAATTAATTTATGTTTCAGAGTATAAGAGACCATTCATCCGTATCGGTCCACATGGCTACATTCTAAACGCAGGCTATAGGGATTACGCTTCTGAGATCTACAACTTCGAAGTAAGGCTTGATGATGTATGGGTCACCACATTCTCTAGATCAGGTAAGTGGTTGATACATATAACAAATAAATCTATCTTTACGCAAAATCAACTGATGTTATAATATAGAGGAACAAATGTAACTTGAAATATGAAGAGTAATAATAGTTTTAAATTATTTCATTGAGATTGAAAATTTCAAATTCAAATTAAGAATTTATTTAATTTTGGAACCCTAATTTTGTATAGTTCTAAGCGACTTTCTTATTAATTTATCTAATAGGCTATTGAGCATAAGACTCAGTTTTGATTACCAAATTAATTTCTAAATTCTAAATGGTAAATACTACGAATAATCAAATACTGTGGTTCTCTACACAATTTCAAATTCTGTAGTCTCTTCCACTAAATGACATTCTAGTATTCGATCTAGAGTACTTAATACGGGTACTTTTTGTTTTTATCATCTTATGACTTCTCCTTATGTACGGAGACGCTGAGAGTGTTGCGGCGGGTATATTTCTCACTCATAAAAAAAATATCGAATGACTCCACCCGTCCTGTTGAAGCTTGAGAGAGTGCCAAACGCTGACTATAAACCACCCGTTGACAAAATGTCTGCGTGGGCGATGACGCAGCAATTATCAAGTACGATGAACTAACGTCGCACCGCGCGACTCCCCGCGTATTGGTAAACGAAGCCTAATTGACAAAAAAATCATAATTAAAAAAAACAAAGTCGATCACTTGCATCCGAAACTTGACATGTTCTGAAGGATATGAGGTGTTATTTTCTTTCAGTCTATACGGACTATTATTCTTTACATTTCACTAGCATTCAATACTGTTAGTCCTACCTCAAATATAAAACATGTTATGGTAAAATGTTTGGTATGTTTTAAAAGGTTTCGCACTCTGTTATCGGTTATCGCGTAGATAGCAACTACCGTCATAAAATGTTATCGCCTAACGCCTATGGATGGGTACTTAGTACATACTGTTGTATTATCTATTTATTGAACAAAAGAATTCTAGATAAATCTATTTTGGACTTTGGCTGCTTCGTTTGTCTTAGAATAATTTGCATTATCTAGAAGTTTCTACCGATCAATTCATTTGGAAATTAATCAACAATAAAATTATTATCTTAATTTGGATGTTTTGTCTCCAGATTACATATATCTGTCTCTGACTCTTTTTAAAGCGGTTGCTAACTGGCTACACTAGGTTTTTGAGGAGAAAAAGGGAGAAAGAGTCACGTCGACAGAACTCTTATAGAATTCAATGTTGCCCACTATAATCACTGGCTCTAAGACTCTTATAGACCTACCGTTGAACCCTAAAGACATTAAATTCAAACAATGGTAGCTAAAGCTTAAAGAAAGAATACCATGTTTCGATTTTTAAATTCCCCGTAGCACTGTATACACTCAGTGGCATGCAATTGAGGAAGCCTATGTCCAACAGTGGACGGAATCAGGCTGATGATGATGATGATGACTATCGGTCGCTTCTCTTTAATCAGCGCCGCCTATGGACTCTCGCAACAACAGAGGAGTTACAAGTGCGTTGCCAAACTTTTGGGGATTAAGGGTTTGGAGATTTAAGGATATTGGGGGAGGGGAAATCTGGTAACCTTACTCACGCGAAACACAACGCTGTGGTTGTTTCACTCCGGTTTTCTGTGAGGCCGTGGTATTACTCCACTCCACTGACTTGTTTATTAAGATACACAATGCTCCTAACTTACCCAACATTGAAAGCCAATCAGTTACATGGTTAATTAGACACAATATCGACTATAATTCTCGGTGCAAAACCAGACGTAGATACAGACGTACAAATTACTACTACAAACGTAATTAAACTCAAATCCTATGTATTTGCCTGTATTATTACCTAGATTTTGGTTCTAATTGTGTACGAAATATTATTTCGTTAGCCATGCACATTGCACATATTTGGGTTTGCAGGGCAAGCGCAATAACGTACCGCGGCCTGGGCTTAGACCAGGGAATGTAACGGGGTGGTTTTTAGTCAGTACTAGTCTGCCACCCGGTTTCTGAAAGGCTTGTCAACGCTAAAACTTTTTTTTTTATGTAATTGGTCGGCAAACGAGCAGACGGATTACCTGATGGTAAGCAATCAGCGCCGCCCATGGACACTCGCAACGGAGGAGTTACGAGTGCGTTGCCGACCTTTTAGGGATTAGGGATTTGGAGATTTAGGGATTTAGGAGGGATTGGGGAGGGGAAGGATTGGACCTCCGGTAACCTCACTCACACGGCGAAACACAACGCTGTGGTTATTTCACGCCGGTTTTCTGTGAGGCCGTGGTATCACTCCGGTCGAGTTGACCCATTCGTGCCGAAGCATGGCTCTCCCACACTTAAAACACAATTAACTAATCTCCTGTTAAATCTCTTGTCAAGTCATCTGATTGGTTGTTGATAATTCAGTCAACCAATCAGATGACTTGACAAGAGATTAAATTGATCTTTCGGAACCCGGGTGTGACTCTCTCACCTTACCCAGGACGAAAAAAGTCCGTTAATGATTTTCACCTCTTATGCCAAATGTTACCCTACGCCAAACGAAGTAGGTACATTTGACTATTCACCAACTTTTACCAGCTTGTGACCTAAGGTCCTCAAAGCCCCACTTCTCATGCACGAGTGCCAAGTACTAATGTGACCTTTTCTAAAACTAATACGTAAGGGCTGAGTGTATTTAAACTGTAGGTACTGATAAACACTGAAAGAAAACATCGTGAGGACTAGACAAGACTAACTTATAATTTGTATAAATAAGTTTGAAATTACCAATTTGTCTTGAGCAAGCGTGGTGATTAATGCTCAAACCTTTTCCGTGTGAGTAGAGGCCTTTGCTTAGCAGTAAGCACTTACGACCGGATGATTATGTGCATACAGATATTACATTAGGTATGTAGATAGTGTACGAGTAATAAGCTAGGCTAGCTTTATGTTTTTAGGGGGGTGAACTGCTCGCGTCCGTAGGTATTACTTAGTTCTACCACCCTACACGTGTCCCCTGGGTAGTGCTAAACGAGCAGCAAATACGGTGGTAGGCCATAGCATCGGCTGCCGGCTTTAAAGTTACCACCCACCAGACAAAGCCATGCCGCCAAGCGATCCGTCGTGTTCCGGCGTGATGTCTGGTGAAGCCGTACGGTGGAAGTCGAGTCTGAGCGATTGTGTTGCGATGTTGCCGGGTATGATACACCAGCTGCTGTCGCGTTGGACGTTTGATCGTGGAGGGTAGCGGGATCCGAAGCACGGTGCTCCGCTGGCCGACCGTAGACAGTTGGGGGCCCAAGTAGTGTGCCAGCCACACACGAAAGGCTGCCTCGCCATCTGCGAAAAATCCCAGGGTGGCCCCATCGTGCCGGTTGGCGTCCGGGCGAGAGGACCCGATGGCGATCCCTGGGGGGGTTCGGGCGTCCCCGCAGTCTCCAGATCAACCCTCCATTGGCGCGGCTGCACTGGTTGTGTTATGGATATCATCGCATCACCTTGCCCAACTGCCTTCTTCCAGCATCCCTATTCACTCAAATCTATATAAAGAAAAAAAATATCATGAAAGGTACAAAGAGAAGCAAGTGTCGGCGGATGCACGTCCTCTCGTTTAAAGTGCACCTCTCAAATATCCGAGGACTGCACTCCAATCTCGTAGCGGTCCACCACCATCTGGAGACCGATAAGCCACACCTGCTTTTCTTGACGGAGACGCAGATTAGATGTCCGTCAGATACGGCGTACCTCAACTACCCGGGATACTCATTGGAGCATCATTTCTTGCAGCGTGCCGGGGTCTGTGTGTACGTCCGTAATGACATCTGCTGCCAGCGTCTCCGTCACCTTGAAGACACAAGTCTGTCTACGTTGTGGCTGTTGGTGGACACTGGTATGGACAAAATTGTTTACGCCTGTGTCTACCGATCGCACAGCGGCGATCAGGAGACGACTCGACTTTTTGACCATCTCAGTCAGGCCGCCGATGAGGCTCTGCTTTGGCACCTTAATGCGCAGTTCGTCGCTCTGGGGGACTTTAATGCTTGCCACCAAGACTGGCTTTACCCATACCAGAGGACCGACCATGCTGGGAGAGAGGCGCGGAACTTTGCGGTTTCGTTGGGCCTTTCCCAGCTGGTTAGGCAAGCGACTAGGGTGCCTGATGTGGTTGGTCATACTGCCAATTGCCTGGACCTTCTGTTGACCACCGATCCAGACAGATGTATCGTAACAGTTTCTTCGCCCCTTGGTACTTCAGATCACTGTCTGGTGAAGTCTTTATCGTCCTTCTTCCCACCTGACTGCGTCTCACGCGGTGAGCGGCGGATGTGGCGTTACAAGTCAGCAGATTGGGATGAGATGCGGCACTTCTTCGCATCTTATCCTTGGCAGCGGGTCTACTTCTCTTCTGAAGATCCGTCGAGCTGTGCGGATGCTGTTGCCGATGTGATACGTCAAGCTATGGAGTACTTCATCCCATATACCGACGTACCCATCGGCGGCTCGGCTCACCCACGGTTCAATGCCGAATGCGCTCAAGCTGAACAGCGTAAACATTCGGCTTTTCTCGCCTGGGTTAACGCTCGTGACCGTAAAGCTCCGGATCTGAGCTCAAAGAAGAGAGCCTTTAACCATGCTGCCAACTCCTACAAAAAGGCACTGAGGAAGGCTCGCTTCGACCGCATCACCTACATTGGCACAAAACTCTCTGCACAACCGTCCGGTAGCAGAGCATTCTGGTCCCTTGCCAAGTCGGTCGAAGCGAACTTCTGTCGGCCTACACTGCCTCCACTGGTTAAACCTGATGGAACACTGGCTCATACCGCGAGGGAGAAAGCAGGTCTCTTTGCATCATTCTTCGCCCATAATTCTCGTCTTGACACTTGTGGTGCTACTCCACCAACTCTGCCTATCTGCGACACCTCGATGCCCGAAGTTCGCTTAAGGAACAAAGAAGTTCTGAGAGCACTGTGTCGTCTAGACGTGAATAAAGCTAGTGGGCCGGATGGTATACCAGCGATAGTTCTCAAGGCTTGTGCGCCCGAGTTGTCTCCTGTATTGACGCGCCTGTATCGCCTCTCATTTAGGACTGGTATTGTGCCAAAGTCCTGGAAGCTCGCCAACGAGCAACCCGTGCCCAAGAAGGGCAGTTGTGCCGATCCTGCCAACTATCGGCCGATTTCGATAACCTCCATACTCTGCAAGATTATGGAGCGAGTATTGAATTCGCGCCTCATGGCATATCTAGAAGGTAACGATCTCCTCAGCGACCGACAGTATAGATTTCGCCGCAATCGGTCTACTGGGGACCTACTAGTTTATGCCACTCACTTGTGGGGCGAGGCCCTCGAGAGGAATGGGGAAGCTATTGCCGAGTCCTTAGACGTGTCGAAGGCCTTCGATAGGGTATGGCACGATTGCCTTTTGTCTAAGCTTCCAGCGTACGGCATTTCTCCTGGACTGATAAACTGGGTAAAAGACTTCCTGAGTGGACGGTCACTCCGAATTGTTATCGATGGATGCTCATCAGAGCCTATGTCGACTAATGCCGGTGTTCCTCAGGGGTCTGTTCTCTCTGCAACTCTATTTCTGCTCCACATTAATGATCTGCTAGTGCCTGGTATCCTTGGGTATGCAGATGATAGCACAGTTGTAGAGAGATACCTGCCCAGTGCTCGGGCTAGTAAGGAGCTAATCCAGTCTGAAAGGGAGGCTATGGTAGAGCGTACGAATGTCTCACTTTAGGTAGTTTCAAAGTGGGGCAAAACTAATCTGGTAACATTCAACGCCACCAAAACACATGCGTGTCTATTCACCGCCAAAAGGAGCCCGTTCACCTTGGCTCCTGCTTTTCGGGATGTATCCCTGGAGTGCACCGACCGCCTTCAGCTCTTGGGAATGAACATTGCTTCAGACCTTAACTTTGGGCGGTTCATTGAGTCCAGAGCCAAGGTAGCTGCTAGAAAACTCGGCGTTCTTGCAAAAGTCCGACGGTACTTCACACCGAGTCAGCTTCTAATGTTGTATAAAGCTCAGGTCCGATCGTGTGTGGAGTACTGCAGCCACATATGGGCTGGTGCTGCGAAATGCCACCTAACGGCTTTGGATTCGGTGGAAAGGCGTGCAAAGAGGCTGATTGGAGATCCAGATTTGGTTGGGTCCAATATTCAAAGTCTCGAGCACAGGCGCAGAGTCTACTGTTTACTGTTTTCTACAGGATGCATTTTGGAGAGTGTGCCCAGGAATTGCACGATTTGATTCCGCCATCCCAATTTCACCTTCGGACATACCGGCGTACGGCGAATATCCACCCCTACGTTGTTGAGACACCTGCGGCCCGGACTAAGCGTTTTGCCTCGTCATTTATACCGCGTACATCGAGGGATTGGAACAGTTTGCCGGCTGCAGTCTTTCCGTCCGAATACAATTTAGGTGTCTTCAAGTCTAGAGTGAATAGGCTCTTAATAAACTAGTGCGCCTTACCATCAACGATTGCATCACTGCTTAACATCAGGTGGGATCGCAATCAAGCACTAGTTTATTGCAAGTAAAAAAAAAAAAAATGTTAATATTCGCCTCGAAGAATCAAAGAAACGTTTTCACTTTAGTTATTAAATACTTACTGAAATTAAAAAAGCATAATAAAATATAAAGATGATCAAATAATTGTAGGTTGGTATTTTAAAAAACACACTCTACATCATGCAAAAGTGAGCCTAATTATCTTGAGAAAGGTGGTACAACAATCATCACAAACTTTAAATAGGTTCAACACTTTAAATAGGTTCAACACTTTTTATAAAGAAAGCTCAAGATAACATATGAAAAATGTTATATAACCTTTTGTTATTTTTCAGGAACAACGTGGTTACAAGAACTGGTATGGTTGGTAGCCAACAACCTGGACTTTGAGACAGCGAGAAGCGAGTCGCTAACCAAAAGATTTTCCTACATGGAGTAAGTTTTTTTATTGAAAACGAGTAACCATGGAGGTTCTTACTCGTTCTTTATTTATTTATTTATTTAATATTTTTCTTCTACTATTGACAACATATATCTCCCATCTGAACATACTTAAATACTTTGCATATGAGTAGATCGTAACTTTATCATGTAGTGTTAAGAATCAATTCCGTAATACATTTTATAGGTAGATACAAAACCGTATCGCACCCACTTAACATAATTACCTACATATTTACTACATATTTGCAATGTTTTCAAATAGTTATCTTTTACATAATATACGAAGATCCGGGTTGCAAATAATATACTTAAAATAGTATAAGGATTCCGTAGGTTCTTTTTGTGAGGGGAAAATCATCGAATTACTTTTCCCGCCCATCCATGGTGAAGCGAGAGGGAATGTCAAACTCTAACTGACTTAAAACCCCCCTGTTCCTTTTTCTGCTCTAGTTCGAGGCGACGGTGCCTTGCGCTACGGTAGCTTGCCCCGCAACCCCGGCTGAATCAACCCTATAGCACCCCGTCTGTGGTGGTCTAAATCTGTCATTAAATAAAATTCATTTTGAGGCGGTCCATCTAGATTCGTTAAAAAAGGCTTAGTTATAAACATATATTTCCCTACTGATAAAAACACATCGGTCTGATTACTACATACATATCTTTTAATCTGATCATTTAGCACAAGTTAAGGATCTGATCAAAAGATAAACAGAACAAGATATATTATGGATATTATCATTACAATACGATAAGATCCATGTCTTGTTGCCTAATCAATTAATATAATATGTAGAGAAGTGTCTATATAGACACATCTTAGTATTAAGTGTAAATTGAATTCGTTGGCAAGATACATATCTACTTCAGAACCACGTTTGCGAGTGCAAGCTTAATAAATATCATATTTTTAATAGAAAAAAAATGTACCGCAAATCGTTTCATGAAAATCCCTCTCAGAAAAAAAAACATAAATTGTTCTTGCTTATTGTTTATCAACAGAAAACTGTTGTAGGTCAATTCTAAACTAGTGCATTGTAAATTAAAGCACATATTATTGTAATATTTGATTTTGGAACGCGTTCGAGACTTTCAGTCCGAACTGAAAAATAAAATTCGCAGAAATAATGGCCAATACGAACCTGCAGAAGAAATGAGTAATAGATTATAAAAAAAATGTAGGACTAGCTTCTCCTAGCGGCTTCACACGCATAACCAAAGCAGCCTATCTGTTATTATAGACTATAATCTCTATAGGTACTTACCAAAATGTATTTAGATTCGTTCAGTAGTTTTTATTTGAGAGGGTAACACCCATCCATACTTACAATCTTTCGCATTTAGTGCGCAATGGCTTAAGAACATTTTTTTAAAGAAATTATATTGTCCTTAATTTGTCACAACAATGTACCTTCTGTCGTAATTCGAATTTATGCTAACGGAAAAATAATTCTCCATCTTTCTCAACCCGTCAGGAATAAAACACGGTATCATGATTTGACCCTAAAGTTTATTAAGAGAGATAGGAGATCCTTTCACAGAAGTAAACCAACTAAAATAAGCCTTCGAAGTCAGTGAACTTTGAAAGATTATCTTGTATTTATTTATATAAAACTTGAAACAGGTACACGACCCTCACATTGGAGATTCGTGGTGAGCAAGAATCAGATCCACGCGCCCCCCGAGCGACACACGAAGATTTCCGAAGTTTGCCGAAGTTGCCATCGCCGAGGTTCATCAAGTCCCATCTACCGCTGTCACTGCTCCCGCCTAAATTACTTGATACAGCTAAAGTATTTCTTTTTTTTTTTTTGTTACGTTTAAGAAAACCATAATAAGTATTTTCCTTTTTTGAATATTTGATTGCACAAACGAAGAATTTGAGCGACTTTTGTATCTTTGTCCGCAAACAATTTATTGTATTTTTTTTTCTTGACAAAAATTTGATTTTGGCGGTATATTATTGCGGCGGGATATTCAAGTAACTCAATCTCCATAGCAAACCTTTTTTCACAAAAACAACAGCTGAGTCCTGTATCCTTACAGAAGCACAACATTCCAATAAATTATGAAATAGTTTTTTAGTATAAAATATACGTATAACAGAATATTAATATCCAAACTAAATATTTTCCTCTTTCGATCGCATTTATTTAGGTGTTCTACATAGCTCGTGACCCTCGAGACGTAGCGGTATCGTTTCACTTCGCACACAAACTATTCAGATACTTCGACGACAATGTTCAGCTCAAGGAGTTCTGGGACCTGTTCAGGAAAGATTTAAGTAAGCGTTCTAGAGTGTTCTATTCGTTTTACTGCACATTGACATATCGATTTTCATATCCGACTGCTTCGACGCGTCGAATAAATGTAAGGATTCTTGGGGTTGATTCCCAGGGCCAGCTGGAGTATTTTTATTTTGACAATTCTTATTCCTAGCTCTCTTTTTATTGGCTTTTAACTGGCGAAGGTGCAATGGCCTTGAATTGAGTATTTTGTTTTTTTTATCATTTTGACGTTTTGTTTTCCAGTACTTCACACCCCTATATTCCCTCACGTTGTAGAAGCTTGGGAAAAACGTAATCATCCCAATTTGATGTTTTTGTTCTACGAAGATATGCAAAATGTAAGTATTCATTTAAATATATTGAAAATAACGACTTACGTGAATAAATTGAGAAAAGCTCTACTAGTTTCAAGTCACAACGGGACTCTTTTCCATGAGCAGTGTAGTTTTCGCGACGCGCATTGTTAATTTACGTGAGTAGGTAAGTCGTTGTTTTAAATTTTAGTATATCTAACAATAATGACTACACAGTTAAAAGTCGCATAAAAAATCCATGCAAACCTTTGTAATCCCCACGACCACAAGATAATCTCACGTATATTTCTTTATTATTTTTTTTTTTTTTAAACCCAATAATAAAAACTTGGTTTTTTTTCCGGGGGAAATTATCCAATGACTTCTCCCGCCCGAGAGAGAGTGTCAGACTCTTACTGACTAAAAACCCCCGTTCCTTCTGCTCTGGGCCGAGGTCGCGGTGCCTCATTGCGCTTACCCCGCAACCCCGGCTGAACCAAATTAGCTTGAGCTACATCTTTGAACTCGCCAACTATTTCGATCAAAACAATATTTTTTTTTTACTTCAAGGACCTACGCAGCGTCATAGATAAGGTCTGCAAGTTCCTTGACAAAGAGTACACAGACGAGCAGAAACAACAGCTGATGGTTTATCTCGACTTCAACAACATGAAGAAGAAACCGATGACGGACAACAAGAAGGAAGGTGAAAACGAAATCACGTTCTTTAGGAAAGGTGAGTAATTAACTTACTCTGCGAAGGTCTTTTTAAGATAGCACCATTTGAACTGCCCAGTGAAAGGGCTACTGCCTTTACGTGTCATGGTTTTGATTGCTGCATGGAAAAACATTTTCATTTTTTATTATAAGTTTCGTGACACATTCTAAATTAATTATTATTATTATGTTTTTGGCTTATTCATATATAATATATTCATATATTTATAATAATCAGTAGCAGCGCGATAGTCGCCGCGTCGCGTGTCGCGGAATGCAACTCATGAATATGGGCCTCTAGCATGGCTTGAAAGTAGTCGAGTATCTTGTCAAATGATTACGTGAGTAAGCCGAAAACATAATAATTAACATTTTCATTGATCCACAAATTGTTGTTCCGGGTCTAGGAACTGTTTACATATGTGAACTTGTATGTGTATTACCCTCAACACAGGACAAACCAAATATAGGGCAATGTTTTTTTCTTTAAAATCTTTGGCTATAACCACGGAATGGAAAATTAATTTAACTGGTCACTCCCTCTTTGGGTCTAGCACATCCGACACCACCCAGAGAAATCAGGCACACGATCAACGGCTTTACCCGTTTTCTAAGCCACGGGAATAGACACAAAAATACGCACCTATTAATGACGCCTCACACCATTGCGCATTATTCCTTTTGAACTAAAAATCTCTCATAGCGTTTATTTACTAGAAGTATCAAATTATCCTTGAGACTTCGAAATTCCCAATTCCCAAGTTTCAAGGTTACAAGTCTAGCCATTTTGCTACGCATAAAAATAAGATAATTGTAGATATTCTATCAAAAATGTTGTGTATAATGTACCTATCTATCTATATGTATAAGTAGCCTTACCTCCCTGACAAACAGTTTATTATCATTATTTTATCTGGTAAGTACCTATCATATTTATCGCAAAATTGATATATCAGTTATCCGTGGGACAGTGACGTTAATATAAAAAAATACATTTACTTGTTACCTTCTAAAACAGGAGAGAAGGGCTTTTGGCGGTTATGTTGTAAGTCTAAGTATAATATTGAGTTAGTCTATTAACAAAGAAAAGGTATTTCTAAGTTAAGCTGACTGATTAGAATTTAAAAATCGGAACACCCAATTATAACCCTGACACCTTTACGTCTCATCTACTTATATTTCTAAGTATACTAATATTAAAGGTAAAATTTGTAAGTTTGTATATAGGGGGTAATCTTTGGAACCGCTGGTCGGATTGCCTTCACTGATAGATAGCTATAACGTTTCTGCGTCCTATAGGCTATAAAACAGCACGCTACGATCAAATTGAGCCGAACAGCGGGTAAAACCATGTGAGATATTTAGATAGTGTTCTGATATTTTGGTCGCAATTATATAATAATTGGAAAGAAATCCTGTTTCGCTATAAACTTCTAATACACTTAATGTTTCGCAGGGAAATCCGGGAACTGGGTGCAATATTTCGACAGCGAAATGACTCGGGAAGCTGAAGAATTTATGGAGAAGAACTTGAAACTAACCGACATGCGATACCCTACTGTTAATAATTAATTTAACGATAATCCATTCGATCTGGAAGGAACCTATGTTTCGTAATAAAGGGCTTTAATTATTATTTATAGTTTTATTTGATTCCCGTTGGGAAACCTTACTCTTGGCTTTTTACGAAAAATAGCCTTGTCGTTTGATTGACGTGTTGTTGTGTAGGTAATTATTAATCAAAATTATTGAACGAGCTTACAAATTAAACACAGATAAAGAAAAAAAACAAGTGTAAACTCGCTTCATATAAAACATTAAATAAAAATAAATAAATAAAATATTTTTCAATTCACGTATTGCATTGGAGCAAAGGCAACAAAACACGTCGCAGCAAAAGTTTATAGTCTATCGTTATTCCCGCCATCGCGTCGGGCCATTTGAACAAATAATTGTCTCTGGTACGCTTTCGCGCGGCTCGTGTGGGACGAGTAGCAATTTGCACAACAATGCACTCGATAGCTCCCTTGTTTATATTATTTTGTTATGCGTCTCCATTCTTTCGTATTTATTTCAATAAATAAGATAAGCCCAGTCTATTTAAGCTGGAGTTTGCGTTTATGGAATGGAAAAATGTGAAATACTATTTACAATAAATATTTTAATCGACTAAAGGGTAGAGCAGAGATTATGCTTATTTATTTTTTAAATACAAAGTAATGACTGTACCAGCTCTTATGTTATTTTTGAGTCCCATCATGTTGTGGTTATAATATAATTAGTCAATAAACTAATTACAATACCAGACGATGCACATACCATCAAATTAACAAAAACTACGTCTCGGAATCGAACCATTTGGAGCCCATAGGGTAGGTAGGGATAGGGCAAGGGCCCGTCCCTTGCCCGATTGGGCCTCCGGTAACCTCACTCACACGGCGAAACACAACACTGTGGGTTGTTTCACGCCGGTATTCTGTGAGGCCGTGGTATCACTCCGGTCGAGCCAACCCATTCGTGCCGAAGCTTGGCTCTCCTACACTTAAAAACTTGTCGTTTCCAGACGTTTAAGATTTCTTTGGTCCCGTAACATTGTAGACCGGTATGAAAAAGTATGTATATGTATTTATTAGGTACCTACCTATGCTGCCACAAGTATCAAGGCTAATCGCCTCCCAAAGTCTCGACAATATTTATAGGTAAAAAGTGTCTAGACTGATATTATCATATTGAGCAATAAATCAATCACGTTATAGATACATTATTATGCCACATGGTAGGTGCTTAGGCAGAACAAACATACCTACATACGTAGGCAATATTACCGATTTGATTGTACCTATTTGAATAAAAAAAAAACAAAATTTTAATATCGAAAGTGTTTAGGTATCTACTTTGTCATCGTAACATATTATATAGTTCTACACAACGATATTATATGTAAAAAGGTGTATAGTTCGTTCCATAATTAGAGACAACAATTTGACAACAGCAAATGTCAAACTACAAAATAATGTGGCCAGATTTTTTATCATAGTGATGGGCCCGAGTACGATATTTTAAATAAAATACCGATACCGGTTTTTTATAAAATACCCTGAGCAAAATAAAACAACGTTACGGTGATGTTTTTATAGTTTAGTGAAATTAATCATAATAATTTAAAATAAAAATGCCAAATCCAAGACTGGCTAAAAGAAAAACATTATATTTGAGGAACCTATGCTGAAAGCCGAACTGTTGGAGATTTCCCGGAAATAGATGAGTAATTATGAACGATACGTCGTGGACTGATGGCTGCTAAAAGGTGGGTCACTATTTTACGGTTGCCTCCTTACCATTCTGATTTTAACCCGACTGAGTTAGTATGGGCAAAGGAAGGTACCAGGGAAAGTAGCTTAAAATAATAAAGCTTTGAAAATGCACGAAGTCCAGAATTTAATTTCGGTCTTTCGGTCAATACCGGTCGCGGGACTTCACTATTTATGAAATGGAAAAAACATGCAACACTCGAAATGTCAAATCGTTGTCTCTAATTATGGAACGAACTATAGATAGGTTACAAGCGCTCAGCAAGTGACACATTAAATTGTGGGTAACTAGCCACAATTTTTCATATTGGCTCTTTTTCACTCGCGATTGTTGAATCATGCCATCCCACTTTAACGTGTTCTAAGAACACGTTAAACATGAATGACACCACAAGAACACTGTTCTTGTGGTGTCATTAGACTTATAATATCATTATATTGTCATTTTACTTATAATATCATTGGTTCTACAAAATAATCTTGTCTTCCAAAGCCGCCAGGAGATCCGAGTACTTACAATACCAGAAGAACAGGTATAGAAGGTCAGAATTATAGGTAATAATTACACTGGAGCCCGGATTGCGGGTCAAATGCAATAATTGACCGCGGCCTTGGCCTGGAGCAAAAGATGGGGCGGTTTTAGCCAGTAAAAGCCTGATGCTCCCTCGCGCCCTGTCTGGGGCAAAAGAAGTCTTTTGATAATTTTCCCCTTTAAAAAAGCCATGCTTCAGCCCGCATAAGCGAGCACAACCAGTGATATCACGGTTGCACAGACAACCAGTGTGGAACAACGCTTGCCTTGTTTCGCTGGGTGACTGAGGGTACACGAGCCCGAATTTTCCCCTGAATGTTGGGAGTGTCCATGGGCTCCGCCTATTGCTTACCTACTAGGATTCAGATGAAACTTCTGCTCGTAGTTGTTATGGTGGTCCGAAGGTTAAAGCAAGAGCTTTTCACACCTAAAAGTGCAGATTCGTACCAATGTACATTTTAAGTTGTACGTAGGTACTTTCTATGGCTATTTAGGCACCACTGACATAGGTACCTACGGTAGGTAGAGTAAAACATAGTCAGGAAACCTGGCCTTATAATTTCTAACTATAAGTTTGAAATCGCCAATCCGCCTTGAGTAGACTAATTGGTGATTAATGCTCAAGCATTCTCCGTGTGGGAAGACGCCTTTGCTCAGCAGTGCGCACTTATAGGCTGATGATGATGAAACGCATACACGCGTCATGGTGTTATGACCTGCAAAACCTATTTTGCAGATCATAACACCATGGCATATCACAGCCTATCAGATTATTTTCGGCCTGTGACAGAACCCGCGGTGCTAACCCTTTTCATTACAAGCGTTCCAGTCATATTTTACGTAGGAAAATAAAGAACAAAGTATATTTTTAATCCATTTATTATTTTCATTGTAAACTCATACACTTGTTCTATCATCAACCGTTTATAATTTACGTTATACACGTCATACATCACGAGATGACACTTAAATACTAACACACTCCAAAAATTGTGAGAGCCGGCGGCCATTTTTATAACCGGTGACATTTTCGGCCTCAGACATGTACAAGCAATTTTTTAAAGGAAAGTTATTCAAATACCTAATTGTTATACGAATCAACCAAGATATCATTAGTTACTGTCTTTCTTAGTAGGTTATTGTATGTTTTAATTTGAAACATGGGTATAATTAATTTAAGTAAAACTATGTATGAGTAGGCGTACTATTTCATTATGTTAATTACTCGTTAACAAATTCCGTATCTCACAATCTATGAAGCATCAAATGCATTTACTTTACTTTTAACATACTCGGGCGCACCATAATTGACTTGAAAAAGCAAAACAATCAATAAAGCGAGATTTTTTCAAAACATTTTAAAAACAAAAACATGTAAATTCTATATTCAAAAATACCAATATTTATTCCCTCTCGGATATACTGCAAAATAATCACTTGTTTCTGTAGTAACAACATAAATTATGGCACTATGTCTTATAAATGGAACATCAAACAGATTTTTTTACGAAATACACACAGAACAATTTATCAATAAAAAATCAATTTTATATTCTTTTTGAATAGTTATTTAGCAATGACTTAGCGAACCTACAGCGAAAATGCAGAACCAAATTTCCTAATCTTATCTTAATTGATGCTCATTGACATTCTTATATAAATAAAAGGCTAATATTAGAAATTTTGCGTTCCTTACTTTCGCATTAATCATCCTATTTAGGTAAATATAATTACCAATCTACGGTAACTTTATTTTATTGTAGGCAAATTAAATTCAAACAAGCTTTCCAGCTTCAAAAACTGAAGCAACTTCTATTCCCGGATTTGTTAACAAAACGCCATGTTGGTTAATTTCCCGCGCGAATCATTCAACGTTCGGATACATTGCCCGGTAAGAAATCACCTCGTAGAACCGTAACATATATTACAACTGTCTAAGTGTTATTATTTACGATTATAAATAGTGTGCAGTAATTACATTGAAAAATTGTGTATTTCTTACTATGTAGTAGATAGTATATTTTTGTTATTGCGTATTTATTCACTTCGTTTCAAATATACACACTATAACGAGTCACGTCACATTACGACACCACATTTTTACGTCGTAAAAAAGAGATATAAAAATTTCGTAGTCTCAAAAGTGACTGTTTAGCATTTTATTCGTTTACACCACTCAGACGAGGAAATAATCACAATTATTAACAGCCGTCCTCTTCGGTCCGATCCCAATGACTACGTTGAGGATTCTGAAAGCTATGGCTCTATTCATTGGCCTTAAATAACTTAATTATATTCTTGAGGCTACTGGGACCGAACGAAGATAACTATGATATTGACGATGAGTAACTTTTTGCTGTACAAACATGAACCTTACCACTAACTAGACCTTACTATACTTAGGTTAAATTATGCTTTATCTTTGGCGAATACACTGCTTATGGTACCGTGAAATTTGAGAAACTTAAAGATACATTTGATCATAAAAACCGTACGAACGTCGTTGTAAAGTCTCACAAAATTCCCTATTTTAATACTGAGATACAAAACTGTTCGCTTCGTAGAATAAAAATGGTACCATTCATTCTTACTTAGTCCTACATAATTTTATAAATACAGCTAGTAAGTTTTTCTCAGAAATTATTTCTTGAAAATTATCTCTTACACTTGAATGTTAACGAGCGTATTTTATAATTAGACAAATTTTCCGTTTCTTTTCCATAAGCAGA